TGACTTTGCAAAGCATCTTTTAACAGACTATCCAAAACTTTTCCCACAACTGATGTAAGACTAATGAGTCTGAAATCACTGGGACAATTTTTATCACCTCCCTTGAAAAGAGGAGTTACATTAGCCTACTTTCAATCCTCTGGTACCTGCCCACTATTCAAGGATTGATAAAAAATAGTAGTAAGTGGCTCACATATCCAATCTTTAACCTCCTTCAAAACCCTTGAGGAAATATTATCTGGCCCAGGACCCTTATTTTTTGAACTTCCCAATTTTTTCTTAACCAGCTCAGAACAGGCAGTCATTTAGTTCGATCTTGTTTCCATCTATCAACTGTTCAAGATATGGAATACTACTTAAATCATCGTCAGTAAAAACCGAAGAAAAAGCAAAATTTAATGACCCATCCTTTTCATAATCATGAGATACTAGCCTTCCTTTATCATCCCTCAAGGGTCCTACCCACATCCTGGCATTTTGTTTACCCTTAATGTATTTAAAGAAATCCTTACTGTTAATTTTTACATTTTCAGCCAACCTTTTCTCATACATCCTTTTTGATGTCCTAATATCTTGTTTCACCAACTTTCTTGATCTTCTGTAATCTTCCAAATATCCTGTCATACCTGTCTTAAATTCATGATGCTTATCTACTTTTATGTCTTAAACTCTTTTGAGCCAATCTAGTTTTTGACGTGCAGCTACTCTTTAAAAAATTTTCTACATCTGATCAGTGTCTCCAAATAATTCAGCTACCCAATTCACAACAGATAATTCTAGTTGCATTCCATTAAAAATTTGCTCGTTTTGGTTTGTAACCAAAATATCATTATTCCATATCTCCAATGTTTACTTGCACCCAGATGTTCCCCAGTTTCCATCCTCAATCATTTCTGTATTTGAAGTTAACAATAAGTCTAAAATAGCATTGTTTCTAGTTGGTTCCTTGACTAACTGGTGAAGAAAGCCATCCTGAACAGTTTCCAAAAAAACCTTCATCCCTCATGGTTTGTTTGACTCTAGAACTTCCCAATCACTGTTGGAATCATAGCATTCTTTGTTTTAAGATAGAACATACTTTTGTAATTTTGCACCCACTAATAATCTATTATTGTATTCTTTAAAAAAAAAATGTTTCTCTTAGTTTTATCCTATAGGACTTCTTTTCGAAATGTTTTTAAGTCAAGCTTTTGGATAAATGTTAAATTTTTTTCAGACTTACAACCAGACCTATGCATTATATAAGCTTAAGCCATTTTTAGCTTTGTATGTCTTATACAAACTACATAATTGCATAAGTATTTTAATAACTTTGTTGTCTAACATGTTTTCTGTTCTTAAAATTAAATCTTACCATACAAATGTTAAATTTCTGTTTGAATAACTTCTTTATGTGGGTTTTTGGTCAGGTCCACACAATGGGAAACATATTTGCTAATCTATTCAAAGGCCTATTTGGCAAAAAAGAAATGCGTATTCTGATGGTTGGGCTTGATGCTGCAGGAAAAACAACAATTTTATACAAATTAAAATTAGGAGAAATTGTTACTACTATTCCCACTATAGGTAAGTTCATAATTCTTTAACCCTTTTATTATGGGTTGGGTGGATTCCACCCAGCTCATAACCACGAAAGTATCCATAAGAGTAATTATACTATGATTTTTGATAAGGTATGCCCATCTTTACAAAATTTTGCAGGTTATTGGTAAACAGTACAAGGTTTTCGTACACAGAATATCAGGTTTTTGAATTAAGT